CCTTACTTACAGTGCTTACTGTCAGTTGACTCAATTATCTATCTCTTCAATGCCGCTGGTTTTTTTCGCCAGGCTTATATATTAAAAAAAAAAGAGGCCACATCAATTAGACTAGAGTTTCCTGGCAAATTCATGATCCTTTGAGAAACTCCAGCACACATGCTCCCAGTATAACAGTATAATAATTGAAATGTGACTGTATTTTACAAAATACTAGTCTATATAAACACAGCCAAAACAAGTTACTTTGCACAGATCAAAGGTCAGTTTTATGTTATTTGATACGGTAACATGAGTGCACGTGAGCCATGTCATTTTAACTTCTGTATTGTTAGCCAGGCATGGCTGAAAGGTCAATATAATAAAAATATAAATATATATAAATGTATAATGTTATGAGATTTAAGCTATTTAGTCTAACCACCTTTACAGTACCGTGTATGTTGGAAGTATATACCATCTTTACTTTACAGTATGCTTATGTCTTGTATATGGCTGTTCAAAGCATTTATGATAAGGGAAATAAAACTGTATGAATTTGTGTTTGTAAGATTACAGCAAGCCACATCAACGGACATAATATAAAGGTAACTAAACTTTATTTCAATACACACGTATGATGTATTACAGATTCAGATAAAGAACAACTGAACTCACCATGGCTTTATTTAGTAGGAGTGCAATGTTCAGAAACTATCCAATTATAATGTGGCAGGAAATGGTTCTAGTTAATAGTTTTCAAACTCGTATCAGAAAAAATAACAACCTATGACAGTTAAAGATTTAATTTGTTTGCGAAAAATTGCAATAAAGAAAACACAACCAGTCTGCAATTTCAAACTTTACCACCAAATTCTCCATGAAGAACTTGAATCTTATGAAATACTAACAACGCCAAAATACAAGAAATTAGTCCAAACGGACAAAATGGGATGTTTAGCAATGACATAACATGCTAACACTTTGCTCCGTAACTACAAACACCCCCCCCCCCAAAGAGACATAAAATTCTGCATGAATTGAGCTTATAGTGCAAATAAAATATTACTAATAATTCCATGTGTTTCATGGCAAGTTTTAAAATACATGACTATAACTGCTTCAACCAAAACAATTTTATCAACCACTGAAAATTACAGCAACAAAAATTTATACAACTGAAATACTTTTATGAAGAAAACTTTCTAGTTAATGTATTCCTGATTTATTCACAGATACAAAGATAAAGAGATAACTGTCAAACTTACAAGACAACACTTATTACTAATTTTAGGCATTAAAACCTCAAAAAGAGGTTCACCAAAATTCACTAATTATGTAAATTTTGGGAGAATGAGCCCAATCTACTGGATCATGTTGAAATTTTGGGAGGGTTTTTAAGGTCATCCATTCATGTCACATTTCATGAAGATTACTTCACTTTACTCTTTCATAGAGAATATTAATCCTTTTCTATGTGAAGGCTACTAATGAAAACCTACCATCCAAGGAGACTAACCAAAGTAACATTAAGTTTTCAGTAATTTTCAATGAAAGTTGGTCAAGTTCACAAGTTTCTCCTTCTCCAGAGAGCCCAGTCTAAGGTCACGTGTTAATCCATATTCCATGTAGGCCGACAAAAGTCCACCAGTACACCTAACATTTTATGAAATTTGGTCCACATCCTCCTCTCTATATGTCTCAGTGTCTCTCATTCCATTGTGTTGTAAAGGAGTCAGTAGAGGAGCTGTACTCTCAGTATTAGCAGGCCCATTCACAGACACACAGGTTGTAAACCTTTGGTTCCGGGAGCTGCAGGCATTGCCAGTATTGTTTCTTCATCCTCATTATCCTAAAAAAAAAGATAGGTGGATTTTCCTTTTTTAAGTAAAGAAAGTATTTTTTTAAAGTTAATCTTTATCTGATATCTCAGACAAACACTTTTTTTCACTGAAATAAAAAAATCAGAGGTTTCTAATTAAAAATGCTTCTCCATCAAAGTTTTCAAACTATTTAAATCATACTCAGGATCAGAAATCTTGTCTGCTACACTAAGTAAAAAAAAACTATCTTCTTGCTGCCCATTAGGTCTATTCAATTAGCTAAAAAAGAATTACTTTTTAGTACACTTATGGTAGATTGCAACTATGGTGTCATTTCAGTGTTTGCAGGCTCAAACAATAGCAATGTTTAATTTTATCATTAGCTGACATTTAATCAATTCTCTAATTAATTGAACATATTGTTTTGTACAAGGTGTAAGCAACAAACACAGCCTGCTGTATTACTCTTGGATCAGTAAAAGATTCAGGTTACAAACTGTGAAAACTTTAAAAGGCTGAAATGATAAATGTTTAATAACTAATGGAAATTTACATAAGATAAATTGTCTAGAATAAACACAAATTATAACACAAAAAACATAAACAATAAACTTCCAACATACACGGTACTGTAAAGTAAAGATGGTATATACTTCCAACATACACGGTACTGTAAAGTAAAGTTGGTATATACTTCCAACATACACGGTACTGGAAAGTAAAGATGGTATATACTTCCAACATACATGATACTGTTAATTAAAGATGGTATATACTTCCAACATACATGGTACTGTAAAGTACCATGTATGTTGGAAGTATATACCATCTTTACTGTAAAGTAAAGATGGTATATACTTCCAACATACACGGTACTGTAAAGTAAAGATGGTATATACTTCCAACATACACGGTACTGTAAAGGTGGTATAAACTTCCAACATACACGGTACTGGAAAGTAAAGATGGTATATACTTCCAACATACATGGTACTGTAAAGTAAACATTGTATATACTTCCAACATACACAGTACTGTAAAGTAAAGATGGTATATACTTCCAACATACACGGTACTGTTAAGTAAAGATGGTATATACTTCCAACATACATGGTACTGTAAAGTAAAGATGGTATATACTTCCAACATACACGGTACTGTTAAGAAAAGATGGTATATACTTCCAACATACATGGTACTGTAAAGTAAAGATGGTAT